GCAAGGCCTAGGTGGCGCTAACGACAAGCTGATCCAAACATTAGTCTGGAAATCTCGTGTTTTGTTTTCATGCGAATCCTGCGCCTCAGCAGACGAAAACTGGATAACCTATTTTCCGAGCTAGAGGTTTACTGGTGAGAGAATATGTCGGTCACAGCAAAATATAACAACAAAATCGAGAAAAATAAAATAAAACTTTTGCACAAAACCAGCACTCATGAACTGGGTGTGTATTAAAATTTGCTTCTTGAATAATGACTGGAAATTGTGAAGGCCTGACACAATTAAAAATCAGCTAGGTGTTGCTCAAGGTAAAGAAAAATCAATAGATACTATTTCATACTACCAATTAGAAGATTTTTGTTTTTAAAATTTTAGGACCATTTAAAAATAAGATATTAATATTAATCTTACTAGATTTTCTATATCAGGTATTTGGCTAGAGCTAGAGCTTTCATTTACTGGCAAATAACTATGCGTTCTGCATTCCCAGTTCAAAATAGATTGGTACTGTATGTTGGTATTTGCAAAGTCAAAGGCGAAAGTTTTCACACTTTGGCATGTCAGGTATGAGGTATGAAGCTTCAGATTAAATAATTAATGTCTTTGGTATGAAGTTGGCTGGGAACGATGGCCTCTCATATCAACTTTACTTTTTAATGAATATGTTATATTTAATGGCCATTTTTGCTAATTATAAATTCAGAAAAACACGTTCAATATACAGTGCGCTACTTTAACTTAACGTAATAAATTCAATAAATCAACGACAGCTGTTTTATGGAAATATGCTCAATGACTTTGTTTAGTATTTTAAATTGCCCTCTTTTCGAAGTAAAGATCAATTATACGGTGTGTGCTAAATCTGAAATTTGATGTTATCGACTATTTTTTAATGCAGTCCTAATTTTTATAAGGTTAATACAAATGTTATATTTTTATTTATTGTCATTTAAAGTACATTTAAGAAACATCTACTAATTATAGAAATTAAGAAATCAGGTTCAACTCAATAAAGTTTCTTGAACAAATTTTTCTCAACATTTTACATATCACAATATTCTAAACGAAACTGAAACTCGTTTTTTACATTTGAAATTACTTCGACAGAAATTGACCTACTTTGTGGGTAAATACTGTCGTATTTACTCTTAGAACTGCTCAGTTTTTTTCCGATTTGGTCTAAGAAACTGTGCTTGTCAAGTACCACTCAAGATAAAATAATCTCTAGGCGCTAAATCGGGAAGCTTCAGAGGCCATTTAACAATTTGCTTTCTACCAATCTGGTCACCGACCTACTAACAGACGGGTCTTACCCAATGAGAAGGCGATATTTCTTCGGTGACGTCGACTTCATCCCGATCAGAAGGCAATGTAGTCAAAGTCCGCCCCACTGATATTTTCATGGAGGAAAATCGGTTCTATTATACGATAACAGGGAACTCTTTCCGTATGTTGAGAATGATCTTTCCTAATCCAGCGTGGGTTTTTGTTAGCTCATGAAGGACAATTTAAAAAAAATGCCTTACCGTTTAACGTAAATGTGGATGAATCAGAAAGCTACGTTATCTATGTTTGCAACATGTCTAGTCAATTGACTATTTGTTCTCCGATTTGACCTGATGATGATTTCATTCTTATTGATTCCATAACGAACCGATCACGTCTTTCTAGATTGAGACACTTGAACAACACTTCGAAACGAATACTTAACTGCACTAAAACACGTTTAAAGTATAGTGCAGTGAATTGAAGTTAATTAAGACTTTCCACCTATTAAACTATTTTATTAAGATTCTTGAAACACTTACTAGCCCTTGCTTAACCGCAAGGAACAAAACAATCGAAATATTCAAATTTATGTCTGACGGTTATTTTCGTCGTACGATTCGATTTTTGAGACTACGATATCTACCTTGAAAGATTTGGTGTATATCAGTATTCTTGTAGAATTTGTTCGCTGCCACACGTTTAATTTTTCGAAGTCAAAAATCGTCATTAGTCGTAGTTTTTCTAACATCAAAAATTCGTTGAGGTATGTTCTATCTTCGGCAGCATCTCATCCAGACTTTAATCCTGAAAATTGTAGAGAATCCTTCCTAAATATGCGCGTTGCAGGATCAACGAATACCGAGCAAATCGAAGTAACTCTTCATTACATCACCAATAGATCTAAATATACATTGTTCACTCATGGGTTCCTGGAAGATTGTTCAAACCTTCTCAACGATTTGAAAACTTTATATATCGGCGAGGATTATTTTCTACATTTCACATGCAAAATATTAAATAATTATTATATCTAAACGCTGAATCGATTGGATCGTAATTTTCCGTCTACGGTTGAGAGTCGATATGTTCGTTTTAGTAAAATATTACTAACAAATTGTAGGAGTACTGCAACAGACTTAATATGCCGTATAACTCTAAAGCGGACGAAATTTCCATATTGTATAAATCTTCTCATATTTGAAACTAGTGGGTTTGCGGTGTTCACCGCTGTTTCCTCAAACTTTTCCCACTTGTTTCAAGGGAATGGCCTCGAAAGTCTATCTCTTCTCATATTTGTTTGCATTAAAAATTATGAGCGTTTGCGGTAAATAAAACCAAGAGTTTTGATATTTATATCTCAAATCCAAAAATACAATCAGTGTTAAATTTCCATATACGCACCTTACACACTTACCTTTTTAACCGTAATGTTTTGCCCTCTAGATGGGCTGTGCAATTCAAAAAACGTTCTCATATTTCAGAAACGCTTAAAAGCATTTTGGCGTTAATTTCAATGTCCAGACCGACTTTTGACTTCATAACTACGTGCTTCTCTTAGTGTGGTCAAAACAACTAACATTCATTCCATTCAAAAATTTGAAATTCAGAACCATTGGAACAGAAATTCAATTAGGTTTGGCCGGAGATATAACCAGATGTATGTAATATATAGAAACAACGGTGCAATAAAATGTATTTAAGTAAATGAAAATATTGAAAAAACTATACCTACATATTTTAACAAAAAAAATAGTAACGTCTGATAGAATTTCAAAAAACTTTCAATGACAGATTTTACCAAACGTAGGTACATTTCCCGTCCTTAAAACGATCGAGGTACATTTTATGGATATTTTGAATAAAATAATGATTTTCAAAGATATGTTCTCATACCTTCATTATTTTCAGATATTCCAGCAATGCATACGCTATACTTAAATATTACGAAAGAACAACTACCCATCATTTATAGAAAAGAGTATAACGTAAAATTTTGCGGACTTGAAAAGCTGCACCCATTCGATACTAAGAAATATGGTCACATATTTAAGGTAAGTAATTTCGTTATCTCGTCATTCCCTTTCTAAGCATATATTTAATTAAATTAGTTGAAATTTGTTGTACTCGACATTCCTCAGTTAATGCGTTAATCAACCGAAGAAAAGTGCTCAAGCGTTACACTGTTGGATCAGGGATCGTGATGAAGAAAGCCAACAAAATATATATAATTACATCAATTTCAGAAAAACTCTTGAATATACAGAAACTAAGTAACGCTGATTATTAGTATGTAATTATAATAATCCTTACATTAATACAAATCTCGATAAGAAACTCTGTGTCAAGGAACAAATAATTCAGCAGTAGTGAATGCTCGGAGTCAATACACAGGGTGTTCCGTAAATATGTTAAAATATTTTAACAGCGTGTTCTTCTAGTCATTTTAGAGGAAAGAATTCCTGGCATTTTTTTTTATTTCATCTTTCGTTGATGAGTTATTTGATTTCCAAAATGGCGGAAAATGTTAGTTTCTGTTGTTTTGCTTTAAAACGGTTATACATAGAAACTTAAATTTTGGTACACATTATAAGATAATTGAGTACCATTTTATGATAGTGTTTTGTGGTTCAGTTTGCTTTTATACAGAGTAGAAATGTGCAACCCCTACTTTTGTTTTGTTAAGGACTTTTTTGTGTGCACTTAAACTTTTCTCGACATAATTTTTTTAAATACTTCAAGTTTTTTGCCAACTTTTTTATCTCTTATTGTTTTTTCCTAAGACGACTAGTTTGCCCAAAAAAAATTTTTTTTCTTTGCCGTTCTCAAAATGTGTAAGTAATTAAGTCAATTTTTTAAAACCTAATAATGTTTTCATATAACAATTTTGGTACACATTATTAGTTGATTACTGACAACCTAAAATATTTTTCAAAATTGTGTACTTTGGTTCAGATTACAATTATTAAATTTGAATAAATTTTACTTAAATAATATGTAACAATATGCGCAACGATATAAACAAGCAAAATTAAATTTAAATAACCATTCTAATGTTAACTTAGCAGCTGTTCAAATTGGTAACCTTGACATTTATGGTATAATCGCAGTTTTTTAATGAAATTAAAATTTACAGACGGTAAAGTTTGCACTGAAGTTCTTATTTCGTTAGAAATATTAAATATTTTTCTTGAAGTTCTTCGATTGAATTCACTTCTGTTGAATACACCGTATTTTTTAAATGGCCCCAGAAGTAAAAATTACGCGAGTCTAGATCGGGAGATCTAGGAGGCGAGTTTATAGGTGCTTTTTGGCCTCTGCCGATCCAACGGCTTGGAAAGTTTTGATCAAGCCGAAACGATTTAATTTTTTGCGGGCAAACTAGTGCCCTTAAGAAAAAACAATAAAAGATAAAAAAGTTGATAAATAACTAGTAGTAATTAAGCAAATTATGTTAATAAAAGTTTAAGTGCACACAAAAAAGTTCTGAACAAAACCAAAGTAGGGGTTCCACGTTTCTGCCCTGTATAAAAGTAAACGAACTACAAAACACTACCAAAGAATGGCACTCAATTAGCTTATAATACATACAAAAATTGAAATTTCTATGTTTAACCGTTTTAAAGAAAAACCACCAAAGCTAATATTTTTCGTCATTTTCCAGGTCAAATATCTTAAAAACGTGACCTCAAATTTTAAAAATTCTCGGGAAGACCCCCCACTAAAATGACTAGGAGAACCCGCTGTTAAAATATTTTAACATATTTACGGAACACCCTGTATAACAAAGTCTTCATTAGAAGTAGCTGCTTGATTAGGAGACTTAAAATTGTTAGAATTCAGCTTACCCTTGAAGCAAAAACGAACCATTTTTTTGCAATATCTGGAAAGAAGTTTCTTCAAGAATATAAATAGTCAACTTATTCAAAGTAATAAATGTAGCAATGATGTGGCTGATGCAACGGCGACATCGGGTGAACTGAAATACCAGATATGAATCTGATTACGATCTTCTTTTTGGTGTACCTTATCATCTAAAGACGTTGATCATCATATTGGCAAATCTAACTTTACCGACAAAACTTTGGGGGTTTTTAAAGTGCGCGCCACTTTAGAGAGCTTGTAACTTACATCGTAAAATTTTCAGGGTACATACTTTACTTGAAAAAACAATTTAACATTTTTAACTTTTCACTGATCAAATTTTCAGATTTTAACTGATAGTGGAATGATCTCGCATAAGACTGTAGTTGTGCCAAACGAGGCGAAAAACGAGCATTTACTTCTGGTGCACAAGAAAAAGTATCTAAAGAGCTTGAAAGTATGTATTTGTAAACTAAAGAATTGCAATTTTTACAAACATCATATTTAAAATCTTTATTTTTAGTGCAGCTTCAAGGTTGCTAAAATAGCCGAAATTGCACCCCTTATCTTAGTACCAAATTGTCTTATCCAGAAGGCCTATCTGCGACCAATGAGGTCAGACAAATTTTCTTTCAGAGTGCTGATTTACTATCAGCCCTTTAACTTAGGTTTCAGACTGGTGGTTCGGTTCTGGCTGGTAAACTTGCCTTGGATAGAGGTTGGTCGATTAACATTGGTGGAGGTTTCCATCATTGTTCAGCATCGAAAGGTGGCGGATTTTGCGTTTATGCTGATATAACGTTGCTCATTCAATTTCTGTTTTATCATTTTCCGAAACAAGTAAGAAGCAACATTTTTAAAATCAATAAAAAAATTGAGTTACAATTTCAGGTTCAAAAGGTGATGATCGTAGATTTGGATGCTCATCAAGGAAATGGCTATGAAGCAGACTTCAAGGGCAACGATAACATTTATATTATGGATGTGTATAATAAATGGATTTACCCCAAAGACATTAGGGCTAGGCAAGCTATAAAAAAGAATGTCCCAATAGATTACAATACCAGTGACGAGCTTTACTTGAAAACTATAAAAAAGTAAGCATTTTACATAATTTGTAAAAAACGAGATATATTAAATTTGATGTTAACTTTTACAGGAATTTCCTAGAAGCTCTTAGTGAATTTAAACCAAACATAATAATTTACAATGCAGGAACGGATATCCTGGCTGGTGATAGATTAGGCGGTTTATCAGTATCAGAACAGGTATGAGCAAATATATTGTAGGTACTGTATGTACTTTATGTACATACCATATACAGTGAGTTGTTTTCGATGACTAGTGCAGGGATCTTCGGAACTAGAGGAGTTACGAAGAATGTCAAATGGACAAAGAATTGTAGTTTTTAATGCTATACTCGAAACCAATTTTATTTTTCAAAAATTTGACAGCTGTCAAGAGATATTTTGGAAAAACTTATTAAGGGTTAATTTTTAAATTACTCCTAGTTCCGTTGATATTAATTGGACAAAAAACGATTAAATAAAAAACTTGTAGGAAATTAAATTCCAAGCAAAATGGCATAAGACATTTCTCCAAAATAACTGTTATTTTTGACGTCTTAATTAAAATAAAGTTAAACTTTAACGTAGCTGTCAAAATATATACTGAAGCATACTGTTATTATTTGTTGCTATGGAAACAATGTTAGTTCTTATACTATTTTCCATGGCTAACTTCGATCAACTAAATTGAAAAAGTATTAATTGTTCGCAGACACTTTATTTTCGAAAAAATCTTAACGATTTTATTACTATATCACAGAACTCGTAATAAAATGCTATATTCGGAAAAGGTATAATCAAGTATGGTAACCATTTAAAAAAACTCAAATTTGTGTCATATGTCAAAAATGACAGTTATTTTGGAGAATTTTTTTATGCCATTTTGTGTTTAGAATTCAATTTCCTACAAGTTTTCTATTTAATGTTTTCCTGTCAAATTAATATCAATGGAACTAGGAACCATTAAAAAATTTCCCATAAATAAGTTTTTCCCAAATATCTCTTAAAGCTGTCAAATTTAAGAAAATAAGAAAAATAAAATTGGTTTCGAGTAGAGCATTCAAAACTACAATTATTTGTCCATTTAACCTTTTTGGTAACTGCCCTAAGAGTAAGTAAGTAAGTCCTGCACAGGTCATCGAAAAAAACTCACCCTGTAGATCCAACTAAAAGAGACAGAAATACCTCCATTTTATAGGGAATTATCTCGAGAGATGAATTTATATTCCATCAAGCGATCTCGAGAAAAATACCAATTGTAATGCTCACAAGTGGAGGCTATCAGAAGAAGACTGCCAGAATTATTGCAAATTCTATTCTAAATTTATATGAGTTAGGACTGATTAATAATTCCCAAGAATACTACTTTTAATTCGATGTAGTAAAACGATGTACACATTATTAAAGAAATATAATATGTATAGCCAAACATAATAAAGAAAACTATATATCTACTTGAATGTTACATCATACATGTCACCAAATTACAATTTTAAATAAATTTTCCTCTTCAATTAAATTAATTTTGTTCAATAAAATGATTCGTGAAAAAAATCGTAATTTTTCGATGTTTAATGCAATCTGAATCCAGCAATGTATCATTTTTATAACCAACAATTTGTAATTTTTCACTTTCTAAATACGTTTAACTATTAGCTTCCTGGACATGGATTTCGCATGTTCGGGATCCAAATTATTAACTTTTTCACGGCATATTATAAAATTCAGTAAGCGTTGAAAGCGAAATTACTGTGGATACACACAAACAATAAATCTGTTATTATTGCGTAACCAGATAATCAGGATTTTCACTAGAAAATGCGGTAAACTTTGGATTAAAAAAAAGTTGAATACGACTGAACGATAGGTTCATAAAAATTGTATGGACGGTTTCCTGGACAAAGGGAAATTTCACTTTAATTCTAAGACTGGCTTATGAACTACAGGGGATTCTTTAATACATTCGTCAAGGAGATTCTCGCATGTCAGATATATATCATGTTAGGTACCAGGTACTTTATTTTTATCCCCCTGAAATAGTCTCTTTCCTTTCGTTTATTGTCTGCGCAGAGGCTCAACACACAACAAAGCACAGCAAACAAAGGAAGAGAGAACGAACAGAGTTGAACACAGTGCCAGGGAGTGCTGCTGGTAATGCATCGTACCTCTCTAAAATGAGTGACTAGGACTAGGGCTATGAAACTAAAACTAAGAAAACATGCAATATTTTATTGAATTCACAAATATAAAATACATTATGGCAGTAATCTGAACTATCCCAATAACAGCCAAGTAGAAAACTAAATGTCACCGCAAACTATTTGAGAGCTCTCGCAACGAGGCTAGATAATCTTCAAAATTTTGATTCTGCAATAACCTCTTGTACTTATTCTTTGGTTGTTTCTTGCAGAATATACATTGGAAAAGCCGCTTGAGCCATGTTCTTTCGTGCATAAACGTCTGAAAAAATAAATCATGCGGTGTTTCCATGTCCAAAGAATTTGATCAAGGTTTTCAGTTTATTATACCTGACGTTTATTTCCAATTTTCTGACCTAGTTAAAGTCGATTGTAGTTTAGAACACATGTCATTATTTTAATCACATTATTGGTGTAAGGAATTATAAGCCGCGAAAATCCAATTGCAACTGCACACTAAGAGACATTGCAACGATACGGGAATTAGGTTGAATGAGTTCAGAAATACGGCTACTATAATTTTCAAATGCAGAAATAAACAAACGAGTTTGCAGTCCGTAGCGTACAGTAAAATAGACAAGAAAATTGTTGCAGTTTTCAAATATAATTTAATTTTAAATATAACTAAAACCAATAAAAAGTAAAATACTTACTTCTATAGCACCTGCAACAATAAATTGACCAATAGGGAACAGCAGAAGTAAACATCTAAAATTCTTATGGTGAAAACCGCCTTCGGCAAAATCAATTAGTTCCATTATTTCAGCAATTCTCTTGCATGGATACAATGCCATCCAGGTAACGATTACCGTCAAACAGAGCACATTAAGCAGAAACCAAAAATTAGTAAAAACGTTCATCCTAAAAATAATTAGAGTCAGGGATGAATAATGTGCGATGTTTCAATAATATTAATAAAACATCGGTATTAAATATCGTTCATTTCATTTTAAACTGTGCAATAATGTATTGCCAAACGCGTTTATTTGCATGGTAAACTGCAATGTAGTTAATGAAGCGCCTTTAGGGTACTTAGATAGCCCAAATTAATGAAAAATAACCGGTTACGTTTACCGAAACAAGGAGTAAACATTTTCGTCAGTCCACAACGGGCGGCCAGACTAGGAAATCACAAATTTATTGCGGGTTTTAATGGTGAAATTTGCAGTTTCAGAACAACAGAACCTTAACGTGCAGGGCGTAATCACATAACAATGTATTCCTCAGACAAAAGAAAACGGAATTTTAGCTTTTTCTTTCCTGTTATAATTTTAGTATATTCTTTATCTATATTTGTGTAATTCATGTATTTGTATTTATATTATTACCATTTGCACCCGTTGAAAGACAATTGCTCAGCTACTGCTTTGAGGGTTTGCCCCATGTGTGGTGTTCTTCTTTTAATTTCAATCAACAACTAAGTAACTATAATCGATTATAACTGATTTCCGAATTTTCATGTACCTTTTTTAAAATTTATTTAAAAATATATGCTGAGCAATGACGAACTTGAACGCAAGATGAATCTTATGCATTTACTCCTCCATCAGAGTCCATCAATATTATGTGTTATGAGCGACAATTAAATAACTTTAAAAACAGATTACCTGTAAGGTTTTCCTTTAGTAAAATGCCACGCCAAAATGACATACTGGAAACACGACACAGTAAAGAGTACCGTGTTTTCCCAGGATAATATTATTTCATCCGACACATCAGACGGAATCGGTTGAAACCAATCTTGCTGATACAGATAATACAAAGCACCCACTTGAAAAGCGGCGATTGCGAAAATTTGAAGAGTTAGCGGTACTAAATTTTTGGCTGACACCAGGGAAGACATAGGTCGCTTTGAATGGAGGATTTTTGATGGACCTAAAATGTAAATAATATTTTTAAATAGTTTACAAACGAACAATGATACGGTAATGAAATGTCCAACAAATATATCTATAAAAGTACGGTTTCGGTTGTGCGATCGCCGACTGCGACTTGGTTTGGGTGATGCGGTTATAGCCGCAACAGATCAGTTCAAGAGATCGCCAAACATTTTTTCCAAAAATTGCAATTGCGACTGCGATTTGACTGGTTCGTCTACCAGTTGAATCGCATTAGCTGCCGCCTCTCTAACTCTCGCCTCGGAACGTACAACCGGAAGCGTTTACGTGCAAAGTACATTAAAGGAGTAATTTGCAATCAGCCCCTAGGCGCGAGTCGCAGTCGCACCACTTAAATCGTACCTTAACAAGTATTATTTGACAAACATACAAGGTTATTCAAAATGTGCGTAATTCCTCTGGAAGTTTGGTCTTGGGGTATTTAGAGAGTACAGAAAACTTTTCGTGACTAAAAACGGAAATTTTGCATATATTAGCGTTACACAGATATCTGCTATTTGTGTGCGATGAGAAAATCAACAAATGTGATATTATCAGTCAAACAGAAAAAAATTGACCACTTTACTGATACAACCACAAATTTTCCACTTTACTGAGTTAATAAGAATTCAATTTTCATTTTCAAAATTTCGATTTTTAATTCAGTTCCCAAACCATTGATGTAAATACCTGCATATCAATGCATAATGTCATTACATGAGTTTTATCCCGGAACAGCATCGTTTATAACAAAACTGTCCAATTTTACTTCATGAAGTCATTTTACATCAGTATTCATTGACTGCTAGGAATATTTAAACGTCAACGCAGCTTGATGTTAATAAAAATATTTCTGAAGAAAAAATGATAGAACCCTTCTTCAAACACTTATTTGATACGAATCTCCTTCAAAAGTTTGAGATGAAGAAAAATCAGCAAGAAACCTTGTAACGGTTTTCCATGCCTCCCATGCCAGATTTCTAGATCTGGTTTAAAACAAACTTAGCATTATTTTGTTTATCAATTGCGGCGATTTTTATTTTTTCAGAAGAATCCTTTTACCCCTAAGGAACACATCGGGACTTTCGCTCCACCATAATGTTAAATATTTGACTTGATTCTGATAAGTTTTAAAAAGACGTTGACATGTGTTACAACAAAGATCTGCCTGGATGCATGGTTGTCATAATTTTCGGTATAAAAATCTGCAGGAATTTCAGTGATATAGTTTTCCACCAATGGCTAAATACACTATTTCCTAATGGGTGGATTAGACGATGGGGGGCCAGTCTAATGGCCGGCACGGACGCCCGATTTTATTCTGGGGGTAAGGTTTTCTCTGGGGATATCTCAAGAGTTTATATTACAAAACCTGATTAAATTGAAGGCCTTAGAGAAAGAAAGACAAAAAGAAAGTGGTCACCGCGGTGTGGTGATGCACGCATCCGCTTGCCATGACTAATTTCCCGGGTTTTAATGTTTTAAAATATCTGATTGGGCTTTGCTGTATGCGATAATTATAATCAGAGTGGAGTTAGAAGGAAGGTCTGATTATTAACTCGGGCACTGTATACTGAAACATTTAAATTGGGTAGTTTTGCACATTATTAATTACTATCACGTAATTTCTGCAGTGAATTTTTTAATTACATTATTTACAAGCATCAATGCGTTTGTAGCATTTTACTGTTTCAAGCACATATTTTAGTCATAATATTTACAATAGCCAAAAAATGCATTCGGTAAAATTTACAAGCGAACTTGAGCTATTAAAGTTTGATTCCTACACAATCTCACTTCTGAAGAATACTGTTGGATTTTTCCTAATAGCGCAAAAAAGTACCTATACAACAGCGTCAGCGTCTAACTGTGGTATTGTATCAGCGATTCGTGGTAGATACTGTATAATCGAAGATTTTTCGTTGCGTCTACGAGCAAATTGCGGTATTATTATGAAGAACAAATCATACGCGCAAAACAAAAAATAAGAACAATAAGATGTAGAACCAACAAAAGCACAATAGAACTGAAATTACTGCAATGTAAACTTGCATCTGAAAATAAGGAATCACGATCTTTTAAAAAACCTAATAAAATTGTTAGAATATTAACGAATGAAACAGTAGGAAAAACTAGCAATTCTTTTAGTGGCCCACACAACTCGGGGCAAAAGATGCCAGGTGCGGAGCATAAAAAATTTCGTTAAAATATTTAGTTCACTCTAATTTACTAACCTTGCCGTCCCATAGTTACTGCTAAAGTCGTTGTAATTATGAGATCAATAAATAAAAACTGGAAATTACCCAACATCGAATGGCACTAAAATAGACAATCGATAAACATCTAGATGAAAAACAAATGGATTAAACCAAATTCCTACTTACCGTGTAAAGAATTAATATGGTTACAAACTGAATCATACTATAGAGAGCCATATATTTGAATATAGAAAAGCTGGTCACCAGTGAGCACCTGCCTTCTAATATTAGCCAAATGATGCATGAAATATCCGGTATTCCTGATGTAAATGGTGCTGCAACGCTGGCTTCCGCGGGTGATAGAGATACCCCGACATGAGCTGCTTTCAAAGCCTACAAAAAAGAATACCTTCAATATTTGATACATAACATCAGTGAAACCTAAGTTAGTGAATTCTCAAAATCAAATGATGGTCATGAACTAAAAAAGTATTAACGTACAGCACTTCACATCAACTTCAAATATTAATTTTAATAAATCGATCGCCGAGTTTAATATAAACAGCATTAATATTTTAAGACTAACTGTACATCCTAAAAGTACTGAAAATATGATGCAAAGTAAATTTAATATACAATAGCAACATTTGTGTATATGAATTTAAAAAAATTAATACATATACTTACACCACAGTCATTGGCACCGTCTCCGACCATCGAAACGATATAATCTAGATCTTGAAAAGATGTTACCAATTGAGTCTTTTGATCCGGTTGGAATCTAGCAAAAACCGTAGTTCTCACGAGCAAACTCGGAATTAAATCTTCATAATACAGTTTTAAGTTTGTCCACGTCTTTCCATCAATGGCAAAATAACTATTCTGCAAAACATAAAATCCTGCATGTATGCATATTTTTAAGTACATGCCGGCTTAAATGTTAATGAGTTTTGAAAGCCCCACTCAGACCTCCCAAAGTATACTTAAAAGAAGATAAAATTGTATTCATACGGTGTCATAAATGTGGATTGCTGTGAAATCTGGTTGAACGCCACTATCAGCTTTTTCCATTACGATATTGGGCTTTTCATTGATATTATTTACTTCCGTTACGTTTAAAATATAAATAGTAGCGGTAGAGTCAACCATCTCACAATCCCTTGCTACTGATATTGCGGTCCGTATATTATCACCTGTAAATATACACGATAAAATAATTAGAGACAAAATTATTAACAACAAACATTAAATACCTGTAATCATGACGGTACGAATATTAGCGTTTCTTAACTGTCTAAGGACAGGCACAGTTTCAGACTTTAAAGGATTCTGGAGTATTAGCAAACCAAGGAATTCCAAATCATGTTCTATCTGAAATTAAAAACAAACCAAAATTTTTGTGATATCACCGAGCAAATGAAATTGGATATTCTAAATATAGATATTTTCTAGAATAAAATTTCTAGAAAATTTAGAATTTCGATTCTTTTTGGATTTCTTCCAGAATCTAGTGCAAAAACCATTATTTCCCGTACTAAGCCAGCATTTGAAAAATATTGTTATACTTATAGATATATTCTTCGCAGGAGGTGATAGTGCAAGTATTTTTTTGTATTATTCCAAAAACTCTAAGTTTCCGAGCTACAGGGTGTTAAAGTTTTAATTAAAAAAATATATTTATTAATATTACGGAAACTGCCTGGAATATTTTACTGAAATTTTACAGGCTTGGGAACTTAACAACAATATATTTGTGATAAAATATTTTCATTTTTAGAAAAAATTGTGCACTTTGATTCTATTAATTTTATTACAAAAAATTATTACTAGCTGCAGTTCGACGTTAAAAAGGGATTTTGCTCGGCCGAGTAATGAGCATTAGGGTATTTGGTAATACCCTCGATTAAAATTTAATTCACCGGTTCACAAAATTCTACTGAAAACAGTTGACTCGAAAACAGGACGTCGTAGAAAAAAAGCTAAGAGATCTTTTCTCTTCCAAATAGAACAGGAATTCGAATTATCATGTTTATTGTTTGACAAATCAGTGGCGAAACATTTTTTTATTTAAATTAATGCGGTATTATTATTATTTAATTCACGCGCCTGTGTCACTGGAAAAGCTAGAAACAAAATTTTTATGACTCAACATTTATTGTTGTTAGGAGCCTAAACTTGTAAAATTTAATTAAAACATATCAACCGGTTTCCGCCATATTAATAAATAACATTGTTTATTAACACTTTAACACCGTATTGATCGGAAACTAAGCGTTTTCCGAACATGGTCTATTAATGAAAAATATACAATACAAAATTACTTGCACTACCACCACCTGCAAGGAATGCATCTACTCACCAAACGCCCTGTATATAAATATGTAGTCCATGAAACTATGTATTTATTTTTATAGTAGAAGTTTTAAGTTTTGCGCCAGTGGTAAAGTTACGTGGTATGAGTCCATTAAACAAAGCTTATTATTAAATTTGAATCTAGTTTAGCACTTTGACTACAGTACACACTTACCATGTCTCTTTTTGCTGCTTGCGCATCTGTCCATTTAAACTTAACAGGCAGTTCTTTGTACGCTAAGGCAATGACCCTAAAGCCACGAGTAGTATAAAAACTCAGGCGATTTTGAAAATCTGTCGGTATTGTCTCCGGAATACAAAAATTATAGAGTTTCTCAGGTGCACCTGCAATGATTGATTGATCACACAGCATTATTACCGTACATTATAATGTTCCGACCATTTTAAAATACTTTACACCTAGTTTCGGTTTTAACTTACCTTTTGTGAAAGCAAACATATTGGGTTTTTTCAAGTCCTTACATATCACAGACATGCATTGAGCAGTGGAAGAGAATGAAAACTCGCGAATGATGCCTATCTGATATGAGCTCTAAAACAAAATTAACAAAGCTAGATGAAAAGGATTCCCACTTTCTACATCTACAAATAGTTAATTAATGTTTTGTACCTGGTCAGCAAAAATTTCGCTATCTGGATGATCTAGCTGAGCTAAGACTTGTTCCTTCTTAGGTGTTACAATAGTTGGAGCGAGGATGTCGAATCGGGTATTCTCATTTGCACCTGGTTCTTCCAACGTCTAAAAAATGTTTGGTGTGAAAAGTAAGAACTGAGGACGCGAATAAATGTCATCAGGATCGAAAAGCTTTCATTTCATTCATGAACAGAAATAAATTGTCCTCTTCCTAAGTTCTATTCCAAGTAGTCAAAATTTTTCGTTATAAAAACTTGAACGTTAAATTTCACATTAAATGCTTTTGCAGAACCTTAAAAAAGTTAATGCAGAAAAACAAACATTAAGATTAAAAATACATATTAATAAATGTCACCAATTGTTAAAATGTATACTTGGTAACATTTTCCTGTTTGCTTTAATTTAATTTATTTATTGCATTAGTAATTCAAATTGTCTAAGTAGAAGACTTACCCACTTAGTAAACTCAAACATATTCAGATCCAGCGGATCACCATTCATTTTTCCATCAATTGTAGTTAAAGAGTGACAAGTCGCCATCCCTTGAACGAACTTGCTATGCACATTAAGACCAGATATATCCGAGACTGGTTTGAAGAAGTTAGCACCATCGCATGGCAAAACAGAATTCATTATAAGCCCGTCATGAGTGAGAGTACCAGTCTAAAACCGCGTAACAGAGATGCAAATAAATAAACTAGCTATTAAAAAAATATTACACTTTACACAGATCAATAAAAATATTCTACCTTATCTATTATATGCGATAATTGATGTATGAAAGGGCGTCAACTCAAAAAAAAAATCATTCGCCGCTGATAAAATATCAATAACACATTTGAATATCTTCAATCTTATGAATCTGTTTCAAAGTTATAAAATTTTCATTAAATAGGAAAAACAGTTTGAATGTGATATGCCTAGCTGCTTAGCATATCATTTTTGAATAATTCCATCACCAAAGTATCGGTATTGTAGTTTAGATTGTGAAGCGGCGCTACAGAGGATAGAATGCAGCTCTAGAAGGCATGAGAACCATCCACGTCAGAGACACACAAAAATAGGGACCGCCATGCGTCGGGATCTTCCAATCCTGAGTGCAAAGGTGGTCCCTGACCTGACAGCGGACTTAGGTTCGAAAGGAAATTTAATGGGGGAATGACGAAAAGGGCCTTTAAGGCTTACTCGCCGGTCTCCCCACAATACTACTAATACTACTACTTAGATTGTGAATTTTTTTATTGTCAGTTTCATAAATTGATATTTAGAAGCGAGCAAGTTAAAGCTTCTACACTAGGCCAAGCTGTAGGGCATTTTTGCTTGACATAAAGACTAGTAGCAAACCAACCAATTGGGGGTTGATAGAAAAGACAATGAGAATATGAATATGTATGTGTTTTTCACTCACATTTCCAGTCCATATGGTAGTTATTAACAATTTATCGCAAAAACGCGATTTTGTATTCTTTGGTTTATAACTTTGAAACTATTCGAGCACACGGAATGCCCCACCATTTGTAAAGAATAAAAAATATCTACAAAATGAGAGGTCGAACAATAGGATAATTAGGTTCTGAGAAATTCAGGAAGAACCGGAAAATTGAGCGTTTTTAAGAAAATTCATAGCTCCGTCATTTTGC